GTCACCATCATCTCCGCCTCCAAAGGATTGCTGTTGTGAATTTGTAGATCTTCTTTGTTTGATTTTAGCACCAGAAGGTCAGGCAAATTTTTATGTATGCCTGCCAGATAAAAAAGTTATTTGAGATATTTATAGAATTGTCTATCAAGCATACCTTGACTTACAATGTCCTTTGGTCTCCCCAGGTTTTGCTTCAGATTACCCATTGATTTTAATGCAGGTGGTCCCTAGTTCTATTATCTGTCCCATAAGCAAGTTTATCAAACAACTTACTTTCCCTCTCAGCAATTTATAAAATCTGTCAGGAGCAGTGGACTCCGAGTGTCTTTTTCTAAAGGTCTTACCTACACTTTCTGTATTGTTCAAATTAAATAGTTTTTAAGATAAAATATAGTGGTGCTCTGATGAAGTTTATTACTTGTTAAATGTTCTTGTCTTCCCCCTAAGAATGCAGTTGTATTTATAATTGAAAGGAATATTAGTGTTCTTTTTTTAAAGATTTTATTTATTTGAGAGAGAGCATGAGTGAGAGAGCAGAAGCAGGAGGGAGGGATATAGAGAGAGACAGACTCACCGCTGAGCAGGGAGTCTGCTCTGGGACTCTAGGACCCTGGGAAGCAGATGTTTAACCAACTGAGCCACCCAGGCGCCCCTATTCTTCTGTTTTATAGTAAAGTAATTAGAAAGATCAAGTAATTTGCCCAAGATGACATAGCCAGCTAGTTTTTCATTACAATAATCCACTCCATGACTTACATGGTAAGAGAATAGCACAGTTGAGAAGGAAACTCAACCAAAGAAATAACTGGTTACCAACCAGAATCCTTGCTGGGCTTATTAAAGACCATAAACAGTAATTGCCAATATAGGTATGAAAGCTTTTCACAACCTAAACTGAGTTTAACACATTGGGTTAGAGTTTCTTATGATTTTGTTGTTCTTATGTCATCTCATAACTGGAAACATATGATTGGACAAGTAATACTTTTTTTCTCTTTCCTTCCTTTTTCTTTCTTTCTTTCTTTTTTTTTATTTGACAGACAGAGATCACAAGTAGGCAGAGAGGCAGGCAGAGAGAGAGGAGGAAGCAGGCTCCCTGCTGAGCAGAGAGCCCGATGCGGGGCTCGATCCCAGGACCCTGGGATCATGACCTGAGCCTAAGGCAGAGGCTTTAACCCACTGAGCCACCCAGGCGCCCCCCTTCCTTCCTTTTTTTCTTTCTCTCTCTTTCTCTTTTTTAAAAGATTTTATATATTTATTTATTTGACACAGAGAGAGAGAGAGAGACAGAGAGACAGAGAGAGAGAGCATATAAGTAAGGGGAACAGTAGAGGGGAGGGAGAAGCAGACTCTCTGCTGAGCTGGGAGCCTGATGCGGGCTCGATTCCAGAACCCCAGGATCATGACCTGAGCCAGAGGCAGTTGCTTAACCAATGAGCCACCCTGGTGCCCCTGGACAAATAATATTTAAAGGCCAATATAAATAGTCTGGGCAGAAACTCATTTTGGTAAATTATAATTGTGCGTAGTTGGGTTTTTTTGCCAGAGCATAGGGTAGTAGATAAACAGTTATCTAGAAATTAGGGGACTTAGCAAATTTTTCCTTTTTCTATTTTATTAATTACCGTAGTTCTCTTTTGCCCCTGATTACGGAGAGTTCATGCAGACTATACTTCTGCCATTGATATTGGAAGATACCGTTAACAAAGTAGGTAAAGGTCAGAGCCTCTCTGTAATTTGCTCCACATAATAAGTTGATGCTGATGACTGCTTAGAACAACTGTGGATACATCATCAAAAAATATTATTTAAATGATGTTTAAAGTAGCTAGGTGATTGCAGGAAGTGTTTTGGGATTCCTTGTCCTTAGAACTATATCCTAGAGGAAGTCTCTTTTACCTTTACTCAGTGATTAGAACCTCAAAGGCAGAGTAATCAGTTCCACTTGACTAGGAATAAATCACCCACATTGAAACATGATAGTTCCTGACAACTGGCAAGGCTGATAAAAACCAAAACAAAAGATGTCAAAAAAAATCTGTGCCAATATGGAATTGGTATGCAGCTTTGATGAATTCACATGTAGCATGCATTTGGCATTAGTCTTGCTATGGTTTCATACATTTTTCTCTCTTTGTAAAATAAAAATTATACGAGGAGAAAAAGGCTTTATATAATATAATAATTATGTTGTTTCTATTTTTTTTTAACAACCCAGTTATCAGAGCTATACTATGATTAGAGAAGGAAATGTCATCTTTCTGTAAATAGTTATTTAAAAAAAAATCTTGAATTCTGAGTTCTGTTCTGTGGTAATAAACTGTATATGTAAACCTGGTTGATTCCCCTCCTCCCTATTTATCATCAGGGACATAGACATAGAGAATAAGCACCAATTTCTTTGATCTCTACAAAATTATACTCATGCAGAAGTTGAATATACACTAATAGGTACTTCATGATCTCTTTCTGTGTCAGGTGGGGTTTATGGAAAGTAGGAAAAAAGCCCATAGGATTATAAAATATGTCATTTTCTGTAGCAGTCATTAATTTTCCATATGATAAAACAAGTAAGTGAAGGAAAATCTTTTTTTTTTTTTTTTAATAAACATATAATGTATTTTTATCCCCAGGGGTACAGGTCTGTGATTCGCCAGGTTTACACACTTCACAGCACTCACCATAGCACATACCCTCCCCAATGTCCATAATCCCACCCCCCCAACCCCCCTCCCCCCATTAACCCTCAGTTTGTTTTGTGAGATTAAGAGTCACGTATGGTTTGTCTCCCTCCCAATCCCATCTTGTTTCATTTATTCTTCTCCTACCCCCTTAACCCCCCATGTTGCATCTCCTCTCCCTCATATCAGGGAGATCATATGATAGTTGTCTTTCTCCGATTGACTTATTTCGCTAAGCATGATACCCTCTAGTTCCATCCACGTCGTCGCAAATGGCAAGATTTCATTTCTTTTGATGGCTGCATAGTATTCCATTGTGTATATATACCACATCTTCTTTATCCATTCGTCTGTTGATGGACATCTAGGTTCTTTCCATAGTTTGTCTATTTTTAACTTTTTGAGGAACCTTCATACTGTTGTCCAGAGTGGCTGCACCAGTTTGCATTCCCACCAACAGTGTAAGAGGGTTTCCCTTTTTCTGCATCTGCTGTTTTTATGTTGTTAATTTTAGCCACTCTGACAGGTGTAAGGTGGTATCCTATTGTTTCGATTTGTAGTTCCCTGATGATGAGTGATATTGAGCGCCTTTTTATGTGTCTCTTAGCCAGTATCTAGACTTCTTTTGTTGTTCCATTCTTGGCAGGAGTTTATGTGTATGCCTAAATACAGTTTCTAGAAGTCTAAGCTTATATATTATTCATATACTGATTAATGAACTGATACTTATTATACACCTAGTGTGTGCCACATATGAGGGGCAGGATCCAGTCTACTTGTAGAGACATGTATCAAAGAATTACAATATGGTCAGGGATTAGTGTTATAATGTAGATGAGATAAATAGAGATAAAGGTGGTAAACATATAGATAGATGAAAGAATGGAGAGAGTCTGTGTATGTATATGTAACATGTATATGTGTGATTGAGTATAAAGAGCATTTTATTCTCAAGGAGATCTTTTCAAAGGAGGTAATATTTATGTTGCTTTTTGAAAACCATGTAAAATATACCAGCTCGCTCTAGTATTAGTTTAAGAGTGGACTAATTTATATCTCTGCTTGATTTTTCTCTATAGTACTTATCCCTAGCTTAACATACTGTGTTTATTTCATTCATTTAATGTCTGCTGTACTAGGATGTTACCTCTTTGAGGATAGGGATATTTGTCTGTTTTGATTACTTCTATATTCTCAACACTGAGAAAAGTTTCTGGCACATAGCAAGAGCTCAAGTATGTGTTGAATGAATGAATGAAGTTTGTGAGATCTACAGTAATTGCCTTATTTTCTTTTAGTTTATTAAGACTATCTCGCTACAATTCCTTCATGTTTTTTTTCTCAGTGTTTTTCATTATATGTACTTTAACCTCCCACGATAACATCCTGTCTCTATAATGTTTCTCAAACCAACCCCTTTTTTTCCATCTCTCTTAGCTCATTTAATCTTCAGTATCTCTTGGGGGATTGATAAACTATAATAATTTTCCATGTCTCTATACAAGTCCCCTTAAATTTTTTTCTCCAGAACCATCAGAATTATCTGTCTAAAATGCAGAACTTACCAGATCATTTCTTTGCTTAAAAATACCTAATGGTTCCCATCTGTCTAGAATAAAATTTGTGCTCTTTAGATTGCACACAGGACCATCCATAGCTTGGATTCAGCTACATAATGGTGAGTTCTCTTACCATCTTATAATAAAACACGGTCTATTCACTTTTCTTTGTACCCACTAGTGCCTTGCAATATAATAAAGAATTTGGTAAATACCTCCTTGAGTAAATGAATGCATATAGATGTGTATGAAGGAATGAATATCTACAATAAGGAATTTCGTTGAAAATGTTTCATGTTTAGATAAAAGGTGATATAAAATATATTTTTACACTAGCATTTAAGAACAGTTTTTCTTTATAGAGCTGATTTGTCTTTCTTAATATCTTGCTCTAATCCTCAATTCACTGTGAAGTGATTTACAGTGTCATTATTGAAGTTATCCCATTTCTCTTGTCTTTCCTATCTTTCCACTCTCAATCCCATCTCTAAATGTTGGCTCTTTTCTCTCTAGGTACTTTCCTTATTTTTTGAGAGATTTATATATATGCATATATGTCCATAGCTACATCTTTGTCTTTTCTGTGTTCTGGCTCTAAATTCTGTCTTTTAAATTTTGCATTCAGTTTGGATACCCTTAGTATTAAATTATTTCTGTGGAACACACATTCAGAGACAACCCTGATCTATTTCCAATGTAAAATGATTTTTATTGTGACTATTGGTATTTCTCTTAATTTCCTTTTTCTCCCCACACATAGATTGAAAATCTTCAAGAGCAACTTAGAGATAAGGAAAAGCAAATGAGCAGCTTGAAAGAACGGGTCAAATCCTTGCAGGCTGACACTACCAACACCGACACTGCCTTGACAACTTTGGAGGAGGCCCTTGCAGAGAAAGTGAGTAACTGGTTTGGACCCTTTGTAGACACATTTGCTCTTCTTATTAATGTTAAATTTCTCTAGTAATGAGACTTGGATTTAAAAGGCAGAAGAAATCCCTTAGGGCAAAAGAGAAAAGAGTTTTCTGTACTATTGCTGTTGTAGATAGTATAAACGGATAGAAAAGCCATTTTGTTTTTGTCAACTTAAGCATCTGTTGCTAGGTAAGATGGATTTCGCACTGGAGGGTAGTGGCTGGAAGTTTTCCCCTCTCCTTTCCTTCTTCTTTCCTTCCTCTTTTTTCTTCTTTTCTTTAATAGATATATTAAATATCTATTAATGTAAATATTAAATATTAATAGAGAGGGGGTAGGGGCAGAGGGAGAGGGAGAAATAAACTCAAGCTGAGCTAGGAGCCTGATGGAGGGCTCCATCTCACCCTCCTGAGATCATAACCAGAGCAGAAACCAAGAGTCAGACTCTTAACCAGTTGTGCCACCCAGGCGCCCGCAGTGGCTGAAATTTCTAAAGACTAAGCCATAAGTTCCCACATACTGTCTCCTGAACGAAAAGAAAAGTACTTTTTATTTATCTCATCTGTTAGAATGTGGGGATGTGGAAATATCAGACATTGACCATTAGGAAGCAGTATATAATTAATTCTCCTTTACTGTACCATGGTGGTACCTAATAAAATCTGGGATTTTAGTTATTAACAGAAACACACTTGTTGTTTTTCTAGTATTGACCTAGCTACTTCATTTTGCGTTTATGAGCAAACCTAATTTTTCAGGAATGGTTGACATAATAAAGAAGTGGCCAAGCCAGTTAGGTGTTAATGTCTTAGAAGGAGGTTTAAGGAATCTTGGTGGGGCATTGTAATTGGATTTTTTTAAAGGAATAGGGTCACTGTTCCTTAAGTCTCTTGGACTCACAATGTTTCAGGCTGTGTGCCAGGGATCAAGACTTGATCCCTGGATATAGTCAGAAATAATAACCAGAAATATACTTAAATTGCTTCAACTTTCAGACTTACCAAGTATCTGTTGACAGAAGTTTTAATGGACTGTCCCCCCACCCTTTTTAAAAAAAGATTATTTATTTGAGAGAGAGATAGAGAGAAAACCGAGAAAGCAGGGGGAGGGTGAGGGTGAGAGGGACAGAAGGAGAGGGACAAGCAGTCTCCCCACTGAGCAGGGAGCCCAATGTGGGACTGGATCCCAGGACCCTGGGATCATTACCTGCGCTGACGGCAGACACTTAATTGACTGAGCCACCCAGGTGCCCCATCTTCCCCCCCCGCCCCTTTTTTATGCTTTAATTCAACATATCATATTCTCCCAAATCTCTTCCCTTTTTGGTATGCAAATTGTGAGTTGTTTCCATTGTCTGTGGGCAACATGTGAGTTATATATAAAAAATATGTGTTACTTATCACTCTTAGGTTTGTGTGTGTGTGTGTGTGTGTGTGTGTGTTAACTTTTTGTTATTGGGAATTGAATAAAGGGGATTTTTCCAAAAGGTTACTTTAAGGACTTCTAATACTATTTGAGATTATAGGAAAAGGAACCTAGGGGAATCAAAAGCAAAGCTATATCTTTGTTATTGCAAGAGAGGTAGGAAGGGTGAATTCCTTGAAAAGTTGATTATTAACAGCTTATCCCTGTCTTTTGAATGGAGCGTGAAAATGTGAAATTTTATCAGCTGAAAGCTGAATTAGGGTCATATGATATAAGTTGAAAGGAATTTTCTTACATATTGATGTGTTCTCTCATCAGGAGCGGACAATTGAACGCTTAAAGGAGCAGCGGGACAGAGATGAACGAGAGAAGCAAGAGGAAATTGATAACTACAAAAAAGATCTTAAAGACTTGAAAGAAAAAGTCAGCTTATTGCAAGGCGACCTCTCAGAAAAAGAGGTTAAGATCACCAAAATAGAATGATTTGGTTTGCTTAGTGCATTGTATGTATATGTTGTTGGTGTTTACATAATGCAGAAAAAATGTATTTGATGGAAGATTTTCCTTAATCTTCTTATAGCAGGGCTTTTCAGAAGACATTAAGGGGAATTTTGGGAAGCTTTGCAGAGACATAATAGATTGGATCATTCATTTCCTAAGTCTTTAGCTTTTTCAATATGTTATAAGTTGGTTTCTTACTCGTTAATGACATTTTTATAGATCCTAACATAACTGAAGCTATCACACATGGAAATGCTATGCTAATGTAAGAAGGGTGATGAACGAAAGTTTATGTAACGGAGGGCTTTGTATTTATAATATCTCTTAAAGTGCATCTCAGTATTGGCAGAGAAATCATAAGTAATTGCTGACTAATTAGGTTACTTAGTATATTTTGGTCTTGCTTTTGGAAGGTCCTGTTAATGTGACCCAAATAGTAAAAAATACTGCCTGTGATCATGTAATAATGCCTGAGCTTTAGGGGCACTCTTGGATTTTATTTCTAGTTATCTTTAAGACAGTTTATGGAAATTTAAGTTTCTAGTGGAACTTTCCTTTTAAAAGGGAAAGTATTTTCTATTTAAGTCAGTGTAGCTACTGCAGTAACTAGTAGTGAGTACTACTGCTAATAACTAGTTTCATTCATGGAACTTGATCTACTTCCATTTATTTTATGGGAATGGATATGTATTGATAGAACTCTTTAAATCACGGTTCAGTTGGTATTTCTTGGGAATTAAGCTTACTTTAGTTAGGACTCAAAAGCTGAAGCTGACACTGTTTTACATTTCATGAATGTTCTTGAAATGGAAGTGTCAGTATATAGTAATAAAGAGCAACTACAAGCCACCAAGATAATACATTTTAAAATTTACATTTCCATTTTGTTTATACTGAGTATTTATTCTAGACGTGTTGTGCTTCTTTCAGGCTTCACTCTTGGATCTGAAAGAGCATGCTTCTTCGCTGGCTTCCTCAGGACTGAAAAAGGACTCACGGCTTAAGACACTGGAGATTGCTTTGGAACAGAAGAAGGAGGAGTGTCTGAAAATGGAATCACAATTGAAAAAGGTTAAAGAAAATTTTTCCACTTTTCTTGCTTTGCTTTAAATAAGAACGTAGTAGAGAGCTCTGTAGTGTTTAATGTGTAATAATTTGCCAATGGTGTAATATTCCCCCATAGTTCAAAATATCATTTATACCTTCATCAGTTCTCTTAATGTTCTTGTCTTGTTTGATTTTACTACTGAGAATCCTCAAAATCTTAGAGAATTGACAGATCAGAGAAAGATTAAAAAATGCAGCCCCTTTATGGACAAAGTATAAGACAGTGTAAAAATCTTAATTTTCTGATATGTTCCTTCCATTAGCGTTAAGCCTCCTAGAAGGAGGTAATTTAGCAATGATAGTCACCCATGCTGGTAAGTATTAGGATGTGGGTCATATATTTGTTTTCCATTTCTTTGATTTTTTTCCCTCTAAGATTTATATGACAGTTTATAGTTTTATTTATTTATTTATTTATTTTTAAAGATTTTATTTATTTATTTGAGAGAGAATGAGTGAGAGAGAGCATGAGAGAGAAGGTCAGAGGGAGAAGCAGGCTCCCCAAGGAGCTGGGAGCCCGATGCGGGACTTGATCCTGGAAGTCCAGGATCATGACCTGAGCCAAAGGCAGTCACTCAACCAACTGAGCCACCCAGGCGCCCCTGACAGTTTATAGTTTTATTTTATTTTATTTTTTTTAAAGATTTTATTTATTTATTTGACAGACAGAGATCACAAGTAGGCAGAGAGGCAGGCAGAGAGAGAGGAAGGGAAGCAGTCTCCCTGCTGAGCAGAGAGCCCGATGTGGGACTTGATCCCAGGACCCTGAGATCATGACCTGAGCCGAAGGCAGCGGCCCAACCCACTGAGCCACCCAGGCGCCCCAGTTTATAGTTTTAAAAACACTTTCATATTTTTAATCTCTGAGCTGCCAACTCTGTGAGCAGTTTACAGTTACAGTTTGAGCAGTTACATTAACTGAGGCCAGTTCAGTTGGCCTCAACTATTGAGGCCAACTCAATATTAATGACTAATGAGAAGGGGTGTAGCCTAGTCTCGACACTTAAAGTCTTGTTCTCCTTCCATATATTGGGTGTATTCAACATGATACTCTTACACGTAGGGTATGTCAGAAGTAAAATCATGTTTAAAATCAATAATCACCCAGTACATTACTGTCATTACTTTAAAGTGTTACCTTTTAGGTGAAGAAAAAGAAAGAAAGAAAATCTAATATCTTAAAGTTACTCGTGAATAAGTAGGAGAATTCTATTTGTGAGATTGCAGATTTTGATTATGACCAATTCAGATTTGATGGCTGGCTATTTTTCCTCACTGAAAAGGTGGAGGTAATTTTTTATTTTATACCTGAATATCGAAGATGAAGCTGCTTATATGTATTTTATGTAATAGAGGACTATCGGGAGTGGTATTATTCATTAATATCCTAAACTCCCTTGTTCGTGACAATCCCACATTTTCTTCTGTTTGTTTATTTTTAACCTCTTTGTTACCATAGTCTCTTATATCTTGGACTTTATATTTAGGCTCATGAGAAAAATTAAAGTTATCTTTGGGTAGAGGAGGTTGATGGCTTTCCCCTACTTTGATTTATTTATTTTACTAATGGCCAATTTTCTTTTCATATTTCCCTTGTTTCATTCTGGATTATTGTTTCTTTCATTTTAATTCATTACTGATGTTTTCCTATTATACTACTTCCACAATGCCCAACTCCAGTAGGGAGGTTGTTACTTTAGTTTTCCATATGTTTCATTTGTTTTGTGCTTTTTCTCCCCTCTTTTAATTGAGCATTTTATATAATTCCATTTTCTTGTTCCTTTTAGCATATCAGTTATATTTCTTAATTCTTCTCAAGTGATTACCCTAGAGTTTGCCATATACATTTTTGACTTATCCTCCAACTTTATTGAGATATAATTAGCAACTAAAAATTGTATATATTTAAGGTGTACAACATGATTTGTGTATACATTGTGAAGTGATGACTGCAGTCAAACTAGTTAACACATTTATTACTTCATATATTACTATTTTATTTTTTTGTGTTGAGAGAACTTTTTAATACTCTTAGCAAATTTCAAGTATACAATACAGTATTAGTAAGTATGGTCACCATCCTAAATGTTAAATTCCCGGAGCTTATTGATCTTACAACTGAAAATTTGTACCCTTCCTTTGATCAGCATGTCCTCACTTTTCCACCCTCCAGCTCCTGACAACCACCATTCTATTTTGCTTCTATAAATTCCACTTTTTTAGATTCTACATATAAGTGAGATCATGTAGTATTTGTCTTTCTGTGTCTAGCTTAATTTCACTTAGCATAATGTCCCCCATATTCATTCATGTTGTCACTAATGGCAGGATTTCCTTTATTTTTATGATTAAATAATATTTCAGTATACACACACACACACATTGTATTTCCCTTATCCATTTATCTAGTGATGGACACTTAGATTCTTTCAGTATTTGGCTCTTGTGAGTAATGCTGCAATGAGCATGAGAGTGCAGGTATCTCTTTGAGATAGTGATTTCATTTCCTTTGGTTGCTGGATCACATAGTAGCTCCATTTAAGAATTTCTGAGGAGGTGTCGTCGTACTATTTTCATAATGGCTGTATGAATTTGCATTCGCACCCAACAGGGTACAAGAGTTCCTTTTTCTTTATACTCTTCCCAACTCTTATTTCTAGTCTTTTTTTTTTTTAAAGATTTTACTTATATATTGGACAGAGAGAAATCACAAGTTGGCAGAGAGGCAGGCAGAGAGAGAGGGGGAAGCAGGTTCCCTGCCAAGCGGAAAGCCCCATCTGGGGCTCGATCCCAGGACCATGAGATCGTGACCTGAGCCGAAGGCAGAGGCTTAACCCACTGAGCCACCCAGCCACCCATCTAGTCTTTTTGATGACTTTTAGACATTCTAACAGATGTTAGTTGTTATCTCACTGTAGTTTTGATTTGCATTTCCTTGATGGTTAGTGACGTTGAGCTACTACTTTTCATGTACCTCTTGGCCATTGGTCTGTCTTCTTTGGAAGAGTTATCTATCTGTTCAGGTCCTTCACCCATTTTAAGATTTTATTTATTTGACAGATCACAAATAGGCAGAGAGGCAGGCAGAGAGAGAGGAGGAAGCAGGCTCCCTGCTGAGCAGACAGCCTGATGCGGGGCTCCATCCCAGGACCCTTGGATCATGACCTGAGCCGAAGGCAGAGGCTTTAACCCACTGAGCCACCCAGACGCCCCACCTTCACCCATTTTAATGGGATTATTTATATTATTTGTATCTGTGCTATTAAGTTGTATGAGTTCCTTACATATTTTGAATACTAACCCCCTGTCAGCTATAAGGTTTACAAATATTTTCTCCCATTCCGTAGGTTGCCTTTTTATTTTGTTGATAGTTTTCTTTGCTGTATAGAAGCTTTTTAGTTGGATGCAGTCTACCTGTTTTTGCTTTTGTTTTCTGTGCTTTTGGTGTCATATCAAAAAAATAATGCTGTAAACATTTTTAATCTAAATTCATTTTCAAAAAATATTATCCCAATATATGTGTCATGCAGGTACATACAGCAGAATACTTCCAGCTCCTTCCTTCCTTTCCTGATGACACTGTTATCATTCATTTCATTTATCCATGTACAATAATCACCCAGTACATTACTGTTATTACTTGAAAGTATTACCTTTCAAGTAATTCTAGGTGAAGAATAATAAAAAGATGTAGTTTTAGCTTTATTCCTTCTCCAGTTCTCTTTTTTTATATATATGTGAGTTTCTGACCTATATAATTTATTTCTGCCTGAAAACTTCTTCTTCTTCTTCTTCTTTTTTTTTTTTTTTTTTTTGAGAGAGAGAGAGAGAGAGTGCGAAAGCACATGAGTTGGGGGGGAGCAGAGGGAGAGCAAGACTCTTAAGTAGGCTGCACTCCCAGAGCATGGCTCCATCTCACAACCCTGAGATCATGACCTGAGCCAAAATCAAGAGTCAGATGCTTAATCGACTGAACCACCCAGGTACCCTCTGAAGAATTTCTTTTAATATATTTTTGCAGGGTAGGTCTCCTGGCTATGAATTTCTTAGTTTTTATTTGTTTAAGAAAATCTCTACTTCTTGTTCACTTTTGAGAGATAACAACACTGGACATGGGTTTCTAGATTGGTGGGGTTTTTTCTGTGTAACACTTTAAAGGTTTCACTCTGCTTTCTTCTTAAGTGATTTCTGATGAGAAGTCTACTGTAGTTCTTAACATTGTTGTTCTATAGACAAGGTGTTTTTTCCCCCTCTGACTTCTTTTAAGCTTTTTTGTCTTTCATTTTCTGCATTTTTAATATGGTGTGTCTGTGTATAGATGTATAGAATTTATATTGCTTGGTGTTCTGAACTTCCTGATTTGGTGTGTATCCATAATTTTGGAAAATTCTCAGCCATTATTACTTACAGTATTTCTTCTTCTTTCTTTTCCTTTTCATATTCCAATTATGTGTATGTTGCACATTCTGAAATTGCTCCATAGTTCCTAAATGTTCTGTACTGTTCTTTTTATTATTTTTTTTCTCTTTTCATTTTATTTTGGGAAATCCCTCCCTCCCTCCCTCCCTATGTCTGTCTGTCTTTCTTCCTTCCTTCCTTCCTTTCTTTCATTAAGACTTTATTTATTTGATAGAGAGCACAAGCAGAAGGGGATGGGGCAGAGGGAGAGGGGTGAGCAAACTCCCTGCTGAGCAGGGAACCTAATGTGGGGCTCAGTCCCAGAACTCTGAGATCATGACCTGAGCTGCAGCCAGACACTCAACTGACCACCCAGGTGCCTCCATTTTGGGAAGTTTCTGTTGACTTGTCTTTAAGCTTACTGATTCTTTCTTCAACCATATCCAGTCTACTAAAGGGTCCATGAAAGGCATTAATTTTTCTTGTGTTTTTTATACCTAGAATTTCCTCTTGATTCTTTCTTAGAGTGTCCACCTCTCTGATTGTATTACCCATCTATTTTTGAT